CACACACACACACACACACACACACACACACACACATAGACTCACACAGACAAACATTCGCCACCACCCATTATGGATACGTTGTGGACATAGCTCTTTTTGCTGTACTTTGGGCTGTTATGAATGCTTAGGACAGAATAACTGTACCTTAACAGTAGGTAAGATAAGCATCTACTATATAAGAAAAGGGGGAGGAAAAGAGGAGCGAGATGAAGGGAAATTGGCGATTCCAGTAAGTAAACTAAGAAGAATTGTGTAGCTGAAAGCAGATTGCTTGTTAGTAGGATTCCCTGTCAATGGACTGCTTCAGGAATAGTCAAGTTATGAAAAAAAAGCGGACAAATAAACTGTTGACAGAACGTTGATAATTTGCAGAATTCCATAAATTTGTTGACGTGTCCAGATGGTAGTTTCCGACGGTATGTACATTGAAAATATCCCATTACGCGGCCTACTGAAATGCTGTTTTTTTGCTCTCTTTTTAGATGGGGATAGCTACTCAAATCCTACCTTTTTCTTTCACTACTTTTTTTACATTAATTAGTAAACAGTTGTAATCAGATTGTAACTGCTGCCAAAACTAGTGCTTTTTTTTTTTTCATTTGTCATTTAATTTTTTCTTACAGAACAGCAACCTGTTTAAATTTCTAATTTTTACACAGGCAGCTGCAGAGTAACTTGTTTATATCTGAGAATATTTGGATATAGTTTAGAGAAAATTAATATTATAGAAAAATTCTTTGTCTTTTGTGGGTAAGCATTAACTGTATTCTACCAGAAGTATGAATTTGTACTGAACGAATTTACTGTAGCCCTATGGATTCGTAGTAGTGGGAAGGGAAAGAAAAGTGGATAGCAGAAGACTACCATAGTGTAGAAAACAGGTGAAAATAGGTAAATGTTTGCTGCTTGATGAAGATGGCTTGTCGTTTGTCTTGCAGCAAAAGTGATCATCAGAAATAGCAGCTGATGTATTTTAGATTTCATCGTCAGTCTAAATGCATCTAACGTACGTGATGTTTAAAAAGTAAAGACTATTACTAAACACAACTGATTTAACAGTTTTATTGTTTCCATTATTATCATTATTGTGTTATTTACCTTTTACTTTCTAAACAGATTAAATAAGATGTGGTACAAAGTACGAATAAATTCAATGATTAATTGTCAACATTAGATATGTTAGTTTTGTTGCTATCATTACTGCCACTGATCTATACACTGTACTTTCTTCAAATAAGCACTTTTCCAACTGTTAGATCTATCTTTATAAATACAAATATCAAAATATAAGTGTTACAGTACAAAAAAAATTTTTATCAATCACTGATTTATTCTAAGTATTGTTTAATAATCATTGGTAAAAACATTTTAAAAGGTGACTCGAGATGGCTCTATTTAGGGTGGAAATTTTCTTTTTTTTTTTTTTGCAAACGTTAGCTGTATTTCTGGCAACTTTTGATTTATCATTTTACACATAAGTACAAATGTTTTTGTATTTTACTGCCTTCTAAATGGATCGCTGTCACCTCGTCAGCACCAAGTTTTTTTTTTTTTTTGCCACCAAAACCGTCATTCTTGAAAATATATTTGCAAAAAATTAGAAGAAAAACCGACAAAAAACTGGGCAAAAGAAAAGTATAGTTGAAAACACTATGTTACAAACAAAACCGCACGAAAAAAATTATTAGAATTACAACTTCTACATGACATTTCATCCTTCTCTCCTTTTTTTTTTTCGATTGTCTTTGTTCATCGTTGTTCTTCAGACTTCAAATTTTTATAAATTCCAAATAAACACATGAATTTTGTTGTTTTTGCTACTCAGAAATGATAAGGAAAAAATAACAGCATTGGTCTATTATAATTGACAATATGGTATTACAGAAGATCAAACTTTAGAATTAGGAGCCCCTAGCAATTTAGGCCCTCTGATCGAATTCTGCTTTGTATCCGTTACCGGAAATAAAACATAACATTCTTTACTGTTAAAACATGCTGAAATTACCTGACAAACTTATCAGTCTCTTAACAGATCATTAGTTCAAGAAACTGCAAACATACTGAAGCTCAGCCTATTTTTCCAACTCCAGTAATCGTCCAGATAAAAATAATGACCAATTTGAAACGGGCGCACGTTCATTTTGCTTGATTACAAAAGGGTTACTCTGTAACTGCAAAAATTTATATAAACACAGGTTTTACATAAATCAGTTACTTAAAGAAAGATCAGCTGATTCAATCTGAGAACCAGGCGGGCTTGTTAAGGGGCATCCAACAACCTCACCAAACGGGGCTCGGTCTTTAGTCACTTCTGAGAACAGACTAGCGTGCAAATAGTTCAGTTCTTTTGAAACATATTAAACATATATAATAAACAGTTAAAAGCGCATATGTATTAATGATCAAAAAAAAAAAAAAAAAAAAA